AATAAAGAAATAACGTGAATGGCATCGATTCACTAATTCCATTGCCTGTAGGTCGAGTGAATGAACTGTCGGGATTATTAGTCATTGTTTTGTAAGTCGATCGTACTGCTATACGACTGAGTCGTAAAGTCTTAAGGTCGTAGAGTCGTAGATAGAATATTTATATAAAGCCGATTCCTCGTAGATGATTACCTATTTCGTAGAATTTTCATACAGTTATTCCGGCGGTCGAGGATTCCAGGATCCTGTTCCTGCGCCGGAATGGGAAAACTACATCTCTGCTCAATTCTGTAGTAACAAGATCCAGTTACAATAAAATGAACAATATTCTCGACACGATATTCATTCCACTTACAGTCAATGGACCGAGTGAATCGATGTGATTCACGTTATTTATAGACAAAACAATTTCAAGAATGGCACTCTACAAACTGAGTGAAAAAGCGTTTTCTGAAAAAGTTTTATATTTTTGGCAGAAATAAAAGGACGAGGCTTTTTTGACCATTTTGTAACTTACTACAAACTCGTTTCTTTGAGATAGTTACTGAATTCACAATCTTAATTGCTCTATATCTTATGAAGCGTTTTTGTTACTCTACAAACTAGTTCCAATGTGTTTGTAAACGTGTTTTGTACATCCGGGAGAAGGCAGAAGTAACCAAAAGCAAGAGTGAATCAGTACAAAGATAGATCGTTTTGAATTCTAAATAGTAAAATCGACAGTCGGAACTTATTCTACAATTTCATACAAGCCCTGGATAATCGTGGCAATATCCACAAACGGAGGCAATACCAGTAGCGTAGGTTTTCAAAAAGTCCGTTTTTTCTTCTAAACATGCCCGGCATTTTCTTTTTTGATGTCGATAGTAGTATGAGCAGCGTGATGTTGGAGGCAAAAAGCTTCTGTCTAGTCGAGCGCGCGTCATAGATATATAAGTACCAATCATAATGAATTGGTTCGCACTTGTACTTGATGTTAGAATCTTGTGTTGATTGATGGACGTTTATAACGTCTCAAGTTTCTCCAAAATTATACCAAAATGTTCATGGTATGAGTATATAGAACAATAAGCTCTTCAAATACGATTCTATCTCACCTTTTCATAATTTGATATCCACTGTTGATGATGAGCTTTATTCTGGCAGCAAACATAAAGGTTCAAAACATTTTCAAGATGATGAATTTTCGATATCAGGACTTCTCCACGTTGACCGGATGTCACAAAAACTGTTGTACTTTTATCGTTACGACTTTCAAGGTGCTGCTGACAATCTTCCACGTTATCCGACAACTTTGTATAATCAACAATTTGACTTAGGCTTTTAGTTGTAACCGCACTGTTGCTGTCGTCGCTACTGGACACATTAGTACCCAACCAGACTAACTGATGTGATTCGAGGTTAACAGAGTCACGATCCAGTTGCACGCGCTATGGCAAAGCAGCTTCAGTAGAAGAAATTTGACGATGATTGACAGACGATGCACCGCAGTTTGTCATTATATTCACAGCATCTAAGTAGGCTGGCAGTTTGAGGGTGAGTCACCATACTCAGACTCCAAGGTGAACATTTTTGGATGTTGACTTTTTCTAGAAGAAAGTCTAAAAGTCTAAAAAGTCTAAATTGCCGTTTACCACTATAACATCTACAACATCCAAAATTTGTACCATTACACCTTCCTCAATTTTGGATTATAGGAAACTTTTATTGTTAAAAGTGCTAATTATAACATCTGATTTTCGGATCAAGCATTTAATCTAGACTTAAAAATGAGACACATTTGAATGCAGTGAGTAGTTAAAATAATTCAGATATAGCTAGCAGCAACACTCATTTGAAACAGTCCGACAATGCTTGGGAGTCGTTTATACTTTACCGTTTCTTTGAAAGAGGTCGGGTATAGAAAGAAAGAAGGAATAAGTCCGAGGGATTTACGGCTAAAAAACCTGCGACAGCTGCCATTTTTAGTTATGTTCGAGCGAATATAACCTTCTCGAATTATCAACTACTTTCGCTTGCTCAGAAAACAATAATTAGTCACAATTTCAAGCTGGGGTTCATATTTAAAAAAATGTGAGATGTTATTCACACCAATAAGAGCAACAATACTTTCATATCTACCAAGTACAAGTATTAAACAAGAAACTCACTATTAAACTGGCACTACTCACTAATATCTAAAATGAATTATGATTTATCATCATTCTGGTTTTTGTTATTAGTACGTTTGTTAAATTTTATTTAGAAACAAGCACGTAAAAAGAATAATATAAAATAAAGCAGTTGTACTCATCTTGGATCATAGAATTGGCTAACATACTAAAAGAGATAGAGATCTACCAGATTACCAGAAACGCAGCTTCGGCATATCGAACAATTCCTTGTTCAAAAAGAACTACAGTTCTAGCTCGAAGGAACTAGAACTAATGAGCCGTTCTTCGTTCCTACGAACGTGAACTACTAGATCGTTCCTTGTTCAACGACGAAAACTGAAAAACAGTTCCCGTTAAATAACGGGTGGCGCAGATAAAACCGACCACTTTTGTTCTTTGTTTTTGAGGCACTTCCAAGTGGTCCAAAGAGTTGGTTCTAGGTTCATTCGATAGAGAATGGAATTCCCTACAAACCTGCTATTTAAATCTCTGATAGCATTTTTCTCGTTTGAGCACCATTCAAAATATTGAATGATGCTGAGTCGTCGAACTGCGACAGATGAAAATAGAAAAATATTTGACTGGATCCAAAAATAGATTTCATAAGAATTTTAAAACTATCAGAAGACTCACCAGAAAATTCTGCTTCTTCTCACATATTTTCGAAATTTTGCAGTTAAATCTTCTAGGAAAATTCCTCTATGCAAAAAACCGATCATCGTAAAAAAACCTAACGTTTTTCACAAACTTTAGTTTCCTAAATATAAAAGTAGTAAAACGTTCTGAATTCAAGTTTAAGTCTTATTACCTTACACAGAATTAAATTCTGCATCTGGTGATATATAAACAAAGTTTCTCAATTGAAACCACTAATTAACAGACTTAATTTAATTTAAAAAAATTGATACGCCAGTTGAGAACTAATTATGAATCCGGCTGACCTAGTGAAAACATTGTACAGAGTTGTGAATGAGTGAGATCGATAGAGCATAAAATTCTCTAACTTTGTACGTAGAAAAATTAACTGTTGAACCTCAGACAATGGGCTACAAATCAAAAAAAAGGAGACGATGGAAGCACGTCGCAGTTCGACGACTCAGCATCATTCAATATTATGAATGGTGCTCAAACGAGAAAAATTCTATCAGAGATTTAAATGGCAGGTTTTTAGGGAATTCCATTCTCTATCGAACGAGTCAAGAACCAACTCTTTGGACTATTGGGAAGTGCCTCAAAAACAAAGAACAAAAGTGGTCGGTTTTATCTGTGCCACCCGTTAATATTAAAACAGTGAAAAAACATTTCAGAATACGGGCCATTTATTGACATAAACATTATTGTTCCGATTGTCATAGTTAGCCGGAAACACACAGTAAAATTTTTGCCGAAAAACTTAGCCATCTGAAAATAAAAGCCGTTATTTTCGATATTCGCTAAGTTTATTAAGAAACTCAGATGTAAATTAAAACGCCGTGCTCAGTATAATTAGGTTCTGAACCCTTCCGAAGCTCAAAATTTGATGAAACTTTGACAGAACGTTCTTCTAAGTACTGTACGTCTATATCAGTGACATAAATCATCTGGGACTGAGTTATAGGTTTTCCAAAAAACCGCGGGTTTTTTAGGTAATACCAGTAACGTTGTCATTTAGAACTAATGTGATATTTGGAATCAGCATCAAAAACTGCATCGCATCATGTATAATTTGAAACATTTTTCTCTATAAAAAATGTGTTCATAGACTTTCGTATCACTTCTGCAGAGTATGGCCACCTGCTCAGCGAAAATTGTCCACTGTGCCACGCAAACACCAGATTCTGCTCGATTATTATTTGAGAAAAATCAGAATCAAATGTCATTGTTTTTTTTCCTTGTTTAAAAAGTAAGCTAAAAAATGGTTCAACACTATGATATTTGAATGCTGTAAAAGTATGCATATTCAAGAAGGGTCGGATCCTGAATTCTATCGATTGGGTGGCGATTTCGAAACGATTTCATCTGAGGTAGTATGAATATTTTTTATAAGGAAGTTTGATAGTGTACTTGCAACAGAATTCCATTTGCGAGGAGGCAGCGGTCACCGGACCGCCGTAGTGCTAGATCCGTCACTGAATTCAGCAGTTATTTTGCATGAACCAGCAGCAACCGTGCTGAAGAAATACGAGAACTGTTTGATCGTTTTTCTTCCTCGATCGCTTGAGAGTCCCAGTGTAAACGTCTTGCTCGATTACACTGAACTCAGTGTAATTCAATAAACCGATGTAATGTTGCAGAAAAATAGGGTTTATAATTTAATTTTGAAATTTTTATTAATCGTGCTGTTGTACATTTCGAACTTAGGACTTTCATTTGACTTTTCATAAATGATCTGATTCGATCTGACTGGGCACATTCAACAGGTGTTTGATCTTCTTCATTTCTCACGTCCCAATGGCAACCGACTTCATTCAAAAGACGAATAATTGATACAATTTCATATATATTATTGTTCTCGTCGTCTTTTGTCTCAGAGATAAGGTGTAAGATCGAATGGCGTGAAGGATCGATATAATTGACGTTCACTTGGCCACCATAATCAAGTAGTAACTTAACAACGGCCAATGACGGTAATCTGTTAAATAAAATAAATAGCGTCATAAAGGATCCCGCTCAGAAAAATGATGATTCTCGATAAAAAATCGATTTTGGGATAAGTACATGGACAGATACCCTGAAGCATCTATTTCAGAATCTTGTAACTCGTTTCTGTAACTCGTTGTGTCTAACATTGATGTAAAGTTTCGTCAAAATCGGATGTGCGGTGCTGGGGATAATTTCTGAGAGGAGAGATCTTTAAGAGTTGTGCGGAAAACCAGACATTTCAAGACATACCTGCAATATTCTTTCAGAGTGGGATCTTCTGCTGTAAAGGGATAGACAGCAAAGTGCAAAACACTAAAGGTAATATTTTCAACTACATTAATTTTCAATTGATTTAGTTTATAAATGACATCATAAAACTTTTGTATCTTCAGTTCACTTTTAATCTAAATAAATAAATAAGAAAAATTAGACGCATAGTTCAAGGGTGATTTTCCGAGAAAGCTGTGTGCGTTTAGCAGTGAGACACTTCGGAATGATCTTTTCTAACACAGATGATACCGAACATTGAAAGATATATAAAATCCGAAAATATAAGACACTTGTTCTTTGTCACTTTTGAATATCTTAAAGTCAAATCGAAAACAGTATGTTTAGTTGCTTTAAGCCAGTTTCCAGAAAGCTGATACAGAGCTAAAGGCGAAAAGTAGGCTTGCGGCTTTTACAATAGAGTCGGTTTAACTAAGACAAAACTGAAAAACTACTTATATCAAGAACAAATGAGACTCTACTGTAAGTTTTGTTCCACTAAATCAATGGTTAGAAACCTATCTTAGCCCAGGTAGGTGTGATCGGAACCAGACTTTCAGAGAATGTCGACCCTGTCAAAGTGTGATAAAGAAATTTTTTGTTGGCGCCACTAGCAACTGTTCGTGAGAGGACGCTACAAAAAGGGCCCAAAATAGACGTCTGTCACGCACAAGAATTCTTATTCCAGATAAATGATAGAGAGCTTGCGCTGTTTCTGTTTTGCGGTAAACACCTATAGCTGAGTTGACAGAGCCCGATTTTTGAATTTCTCATTTACTGATTTCTGGTGCTTAATAGAACTTTAAAGTTCGAAAAATCCTTGGAAGGTTACTTAGAAATCCTCATTTCTATAAAAATGCGTGTGGCGAAAGCCCTGACGACTCAAAGTGTGATAAAGAAATGTTTTGTTGGCGCCACTAGCAACTGTTCGTGAGAGGACGCTACAATAAAAAAGCCCTGACGTAAGCCCTGACGTTTTTCTTAACATTGCTTTTTAGCCTCACTCGTGAGGCTAAAAACCTATGTTAAGAAAAACGTAAAATAAGTTTGATTCCGTTAAATGCGTTTTACTTAAAAACTGTTTAAGCGTTAAATAATTGGTTTAAACTGTTTTTATTTAGAATAAGAAATAACTAATAATGATCACAAGCGAGTGGGGAAGCACTCATGATAGTGATCATTATTTTGTATAGATGAAAAGCAGAATATAAGCAACAACAAAAAGTCGGTCATGGCGGATCTAATTTGTTAATACTTTGCTGTAAGTTATCGGTCATGGCGTATCTAATGAACAGGTGCACGGATATGTGGGCGCATACGCAACACAAGTGCAAAAAAGCTATTATTATTACCAAGCGCCAGTATAATCATTCTATGGAAATATCCAGTATGATTCGCTTGTTACATCCAAGATACTTTTTGTGTCTCTAAGAAGAATTGTGGAAGTATTTCTTGTTTTCTCATTCAACTCCAGAAGCAAAACTACATTTTATATTTTACAATGTTGAGTGATACTAGATTGAACAAATTATCGTATAAATTTACCGATCAACTTCTATATTTTTTTACATAGTGCAGTTACATGTTTTTCCACTCAGATGTTGTACAGGTCCGCTGTATCACTGCGGATCAGATCATCGATATCAGCTTTTGACGAAAACACTAATTTAGCTCTGCTGAGGGAGATGTACCACATCTGGGTGGAAAAACATGTACCTGCACCATGTCAAAAATATAGAAGTTGATCGGTAAAGTTATACGATAACTTGTTCAATCTAGTTTCACTCAAAATTTGCAAACATATAAAATGTAGTTTTGCTTCTGGAGTTGAATGAGAAAACAAGAAATACTCCCACAATTCTTCTCAGAGACACCAAAAAGTATCTTCAATGTGACAAGCGGATCATACTGGATATTTCCATACAATGATTGTATTGGCGTTTAGTTTAAGTGAAACAAAACTTGCACTATTGATTTCGATGAAATCATTAATTTAAGTTAGCTTTGATTTGCGTACGAAAGGCATCGATTCGATCAATACTAGCAGTCCAAAGTAAATATTTCATAAAGTGTTTGTTGGGATATTTTAAGCAAAATGTTTTGAATTTTCTCGTCGCCTATCTGTGGTAGGGTGAGGATATTGTTATCTGGTTACACCATCAGCGTGGGTGGACCGCAAAACGTTTTTTTTTTTTATTTCAGACATTTATTAGTCAAAGCGACCGGCAATTTCTTAGAATTTACACGAATTTTCTCGATCTCGACATTCGAGTGATACAAGACCTTCCAATGCTCATATGTTGGGAATGATAAGGGATTGAGATGTGACGCTGGCAGTTCTTATTATTCCACAAAACTATGCAAAATCTGTGTCATATTAAGGGGCCCTCCTCCGAAATTGTGGTTTTCTGTCAAAAAATTGGTTTTGAGATAAGCACATGGAAAGGTAACCTGAAGTGTCTACTTCCAGAATCTGTATCGCTTTTGGTTACAGAATTGAGTTTTCTAGGAGCCTCGGAAAACCGGATCTTAAAGTAATACCTTTTCCTGAATACTTACGAAATTAATACTTTTCTGAAAACACAGATTTGTAGAGCAAACGTTTCGGATCAAAATAAGACCTCGCACAACTCTATATGTCCTTGCATCAACAAGTTACAGGCATTTTCCTATAAGTCTTAAAATTGAGCATTTTATACAGCGTTTTCTCTACATGGAAGTTATACCTGAATAATTCTAGGCTTTTAAAAGATTATTTTTTATTCAATAACCGCCGTAAAGTAGGACTCGTCTCATGGTTGCAGTTCAGTAATAAAAATGATGTTAGTTATGATTCAGCTAGTAGAAGCGACCAAGACGCTCGAGTGTATGGTAACCCAATAACTGATGTAAAAGGTTTCTTCGAAAAGTAAGTGTCGAAGTGAACAGGAATGGTTTATTGTAAAATATGAAGGAATATTAATCGAGAAAGAAAATTGTCTCTTAGAAACCTTATTCCGTGTATGGGAAAAAGACTATTTTAGAGTGCTGTCCGCCGTTTTGGGATTTTCTTCTTGAAGCTAAACTGAATCGGTATTCAGTTATTATATTAAAACAAATTTTCACTTTTTCTTATTTTATTAAAGTCACTGTGTGGTTTTCGATAGTAAATCATCAATTAGTAGAAAAATTTAGTATTTCTTTCGACAGTGATTATTCAATTTCTATGTGGCTCTCGATACCGAAACCTAGTGATAATCAGATATTTGCACCATCAGATGTGATATTTTCATTAAATCATCTATCAGGATGTTCATTACTCATTCACTTTGAAGAAGATTATACTGTTGCGGTAAGTGGCGATATATTTACCACAGTTCCAAACAATTCATGCAGAAACAATTCAATCAAATATGTGGTATCATTTATGTGTAATTAAGTCATCAACAAAATTTCAGCTGTATACTAATGGACAGTATTTCGAAAAAGAATGGGCTGTTGAAGAAGTACAACAATTTCTGCCAGGATCACTACTGTTGCAAATTGGCGGTGATGGTGATGATACTTTCGATGGAAAAATAGTTGATTTTTCAGTTTGGTCACGATAACTAAGATCATTCGAAGTTCAGGCCATGTATCAAGAAAAAAGCACATTTGAGAAGACTGATATTGTAAAATGTATTTTAGAGCATTGGGAACAAGAACGAAGAAATGTAAGTGTGTTTTATTAAAATTTCTAAGCTGACGGTTTCATAAACAAAAATGAGGAGAATAGTAATTTATGAATATGTAACAAGCTCAGTTTCAGAAGATTACTTCTACACAAATGTCGTCTTGATTGGTCACGAGCTGCAAAGTTACGTTTTTGAGTAATATGGATGGACTTTTAATGTCAAAGACTTTTTCGTGCCCCCGACAGAGTTTGAATGCAAGAAAAGAGACTGGAACAAGCGACCGAATAGAAGACCGCTAATTCACTCTTACACCCACGATCTTGCGTGCTCAAGTGTTCTCCGCTATTGTGAGCAGCGTTTCTTTCAAGATTTCATGAGGCACAATGGGAAAATGAGAATCTTGTTTATCCTTCAGTTGATAGTTTGACCATTATTTGTTCTAATCGGTGCTAGCAATCCAAACGTCTGATGTCATAGAAAACACCCATTTCTTCTAAAAAGTCCCAAGAGTTTAAAAAACTTCCAAAAAGAGGAGTGATCTTCTATCCTTTCCACCGCATCATAAGTTCCGGGGTGACCCTCTATTCCGGAATAGACTACTGCTGAGGGTAGTCTTCTATTTTACCTATGGGATTACGTTATTTCGATGGCTGACATGAACCGTAGGCAGCTGCAGAGATTCTGAGTTTAACCTGACAGTTTTTTTATTTTGTGTTCTCGGTTTATTTTTTATAAAAGTGATTGTTTTCAAGTATTCGTCACGTCCTTCGCAACATTTTACGTCGGAATTCTATTTTGTTGTGCTTTGTGCTTTTTTATCTTCAGCGGTTCGCTCGCTTATACAATTCTGTCGGAATCCGAATTTTCAAGTGAAGCACCTGCGGATGACCACATTCAGCTTATTTTTTGCTCTTATACTCTTCTGTTGAACTGTTTTTATGTGCTTATCAACGGTATTTCAGGAGTGCTTCCTATTAGGGGTGGCACTTTCCCGTTACTTTCCGTTACTTTACTCCGAAAAGTAACAGTTTTCCGTTACTAGTTACTAGTAACGGGAACGATAATCCATTACCTGTTACCAGTAACGGGTAATAGAAAGCCGTTATCTGTTACCAGTAACGGCAACGAAAATCTATTACTTTACAAAGTAAGTAACGGAAAGTAACGGTAAAAGATTCTTGTTCTTCTACGGTTTCCAAATGAGACCGTTGGCTTGATTATTTATCGAAGTACGTGTAGTTGTAGTGGTCATTTAGAAATCTAAAATAAATAACACAAAAAAAAAATTTTCTGTATTAATTACGGCAGAAGAACGAAAATGTCAGTGTCTTTTAGAAAAAGGATTCTTAGGTAACAGATGTTTTAGATAGAACAGATGCCAGCAGCCGACAAGATACAGATAAATTCAAACCCAGTGAAAACTTTAGCTTTGATTTTAACACGAACGATTTTCAGATGAGGCTCTCATGCGAGACAAGAGCTGCGCAGATCATATGACTTTGACAGACATAATAAATAGACAGGATCTGTACTCTTGAGTCACCAGAGGTACTTAAGACACTACTGCAGAGGCAATTTTTTTTGAATTTTATTTCGCGCCTTTCTTTTCCGAGTTATAGGGTTTCTAAAATTGAAAACTTGCTTTTAAAGACGTCTTTTAGTATTTTTCCTATAACTGGACCAAGAAAGGTCTTAATTTCTCAAAACATACCTGACCGATATGACATTGAGCACCTCTGGTGAAATTTTTAACTCAATCAGATTAAACTTAAGGGCGGTTGTAATGTGACACAATGAAAAACCGAGTTTTCTGGAAACTGGTGAATGGCAATAGTTAAAAACTTGAAACAAAAACGAAAAAATGTATCATTGAGTTTTCAATCAGTTCTGAAAATATGAAGCCTTAGTGATTTTCAGTTTTTATTTCACAGCATTTCTACAGAACCTCTCCCCTCTTTTTGGGCTTTCAGCGGAATTCTGCTGAAAACCCAAAAAGAGGGAAGAGGTACCTTTAAGAATCGTTTTCGAAATTTTTATGCTATGCGAATGGTTTCAAGGAGGGAAATCATAAGAATATAACAGTACAATGGGATCATACGTACCTAAAATTTTTACTTTTACTTCATGGATTAAATATATCTTCATATATAAATATATCTTCGGAAAACCAGTTAATAGTTCAAAAGTTTTACATGGAAATCTATTGATTTTCTTCATAGGTAGATAGTCCAAAGTGTCCTGTACAAGATGGGATCTAAGCAAAAGTTTCACTTTGCTGCGTTTGGCAGCTACAGGCGTTTTTCCCGAAACTCTGAGACTTCTCTATTCTTCTGTCTGGGATCTTCAGAGATACATGAAAACATAGGTTATCGACCACACTGAATCTCTTGTCAATGTTAGCTTTTAGAACAAAATGTAAGAAGCAAGTGAAAACTGGTACAAAGTGAAATAACCCATTTTTGGCCATTTTCATCAAAAACAAAAAAATTCATAACTCACCGAAAATCCGTCCAAATTATGCCAGAATATCAAGATGTAATCTGTATTATCTGCAGTATATTATAAAGCTCAATAAATGTTGTGAAAATCAACAGAAAATAGTTTGGTTTTGAAAAGGTTTTCTGAAAACCTTTGAAACTAAGCGAATATTTTTTTATTGATCTTAAGTGCCGAGTCGGATTGAGCGGACAAAATAGAGTACACCTTGATATTCTAACATAGTTTGGATGGATTTTCGGTGAGTTATGAATTTTTTTGTTTTTGATGAAAATGGCCAAAAATGGGTTATTTCACTTTGTACCAGTTTTCACTTGCTTCTTACATTTTGTTCTAAA